CATTATTTCTCGGAAACGAATAAAAACATTCTTTTTTAGAACGGGACTACAGAATTTTTCAACGTTTAAATGATGATTTTAGACCATGTAAGATGCTATACATGCAGAAAGAAGCGCTGATTGTGAGAAATTATTTCTCATCAAAGCAGCAAAATATAAACAAAGTAGTATTTTGGCTTCCATATAAAAACTGAATCACTATAACTGTACTAATTGCTTAAATCCGATAAAAAATTTTGGTAACCTTTTCAAAATTATAATAGGAAATCAAAAATAAGGAGTTTTTAGGAAATATAAATTAAAACAATTCCGGGGCATAATGGGCCTTTTTCGGATTAACATGCAACAAATTATTTAGCAGTATATCTTTCCGCAGAACAACACCAGTTTGGTCGTTATTAAGAGGTTGCTACATTGTTTATAAAGTTTTTCTTTGGGGAAAAAGTGATATCGTTATTACCGTATAAACGTTTGTTCTATAGAGGTTGCGCTGTAATGATAATTTATAATGAATGACATTTCTTCGAGCCTTCAACAGCACGTTTTTTCGCTGTTAATAAAAATATTTATGCTATTTTATTACGAAATATTAATTCATTACGAACTAAACATTAACTAAGATATGATGCCAAATTAATTTACAGATCAAAAAGGTTTTAATATATGCTGACAAACACACTATTTAGATACATTTTAAGTCTTATTTAAATATTTTACTTGTCCTGTTTCTAACCATTAGCACTGCAAATGGGGGACAAATATTAGGGGTCACGTGAACTTAAATTTTAATGTAATACTAGTTAATAATCATTGTTAACTTTTACGAGAAAATAAGAAGTATTTGCTTAAACATTACGTCCCATCAATTTGTTATCCGGTCAAGACAGACCTTTAAGATTTCAACCTTTGATTAATGTGCAGGCAACGACATATGGTGGCACTGTAATATTTATGGGTCACTCACATACCGTTCGTTTATCATGTAAGGTAGGGACATCGGAATTCGTTAGAGCTCGTAACCTTCGGGTCACGCATTTTTGTTACGTTAAACATGAAAATGTGAGATAATATAATAACTGTTTACAAACTCCCATGTTCTTCTCAAGAGGGTTTACATAGTAACGTTTGTCTAACTAACCTCTCAAGCCGACATGTTTGTGGCTTTTTGTATGTTGCCGCAGCAGGGCGTTTGATACTTGCATGGGCAGCCGAATGTAATTCCCGTATTTCCGTATTTATTCAGTCATTGAATATCACGATTTTTAGATACTATTCTTTTAATGTTTGAGATTAAATGCTACAAAAAACGCATTAATTTCTGGCAAAGAGCCTTTAAAGTTCAAAAGATACAGAAATTAACAGTTAAATAAACAGCGGGACAGCCGCATTTTTTTCTAGTTGGTATTTTTTTGTTCAAAGATTAATTAAGTTGCAATTAAGACTTGACAAAAGTATGTCTACAGACAAACTGGATTGTCTCTTATCCCGAATTTTACCTTTAAAGTTTGTATGTTTAACAGTTTTGATGTTGTAATTACCGATTTCACCCAAATTAGGACTCTTAGTTTTAGGACTCTAGGACTTGTAATATTGAATATATAAGCATATTAAAAATCTAACGATATTAAACACACACAAAAAAGTTTTTTTATTGGTAAACAATGATTATATTGGCATAATTTGTTTGAGACTGACTTATTTAGTCTTATAATACTTAATATTAGCATAGTAAAGGCATTTAAAGGTATCTATATAGATTAATAATATCTTATTGTATATGTTGTACATGATAAATTTACACAATCTAACATCATTATCTTAAGCATAATTATAATGTACATACAAAAGGGTTGGACCAAAAGTTATACCAACATTATCTAGGATCCTCCCATTAAGGTATATCTTGTTGGCTTAATGGTAACTTAATTAGTAAGTGTGGATTTTAAAAAAATTTAAGACATTTATGAAGTAAGCGATTTAAGTTTCATATATTTCTAATTGTTAAAATAATCACTTAAGTAATGTTTTTTTATGACAGTATATGTAGAATGATGTTGAATATTAGCTCATCGAATATATTCGTTTTATATTTTGAATCTGGGACATGCAATATATCATGTCCCAAATTAAATATAAGAATTTTGTGTTAATCAGAAAATTGATTTTTTGCGTGAAGGCTATATTAAATTGTCAAACACATATGTATAGTGGCATAATATAATTGCTAGAATTTTAATATTTACGTTTTGAATATGAGCTCGGCTTAAGATCCACAAGGCTAAAAACATAAGAATTTCAATTCTTGCATAAATCAACTGAAACAATATCCAAAAACTAGTAAAGAAATATGCGAAAATATCGATATTTAATGCGATTCTATGCACTATTTCAGTTAAAAGCTGTTTTAAAAACGCTTTTCATATTTTAGCTCAGTTTGCACCATATATAGTTATTCTCAACAACAACAACTACTACAACAACAACAACAACAACAACAAAAATCTCAGTAGAGGCTCTTTATCATTATTATCATTATTTTTATTATTATTATTATTATTTTTATTATTATTATTATTATTATTTTTATTATTTCTATTATAATTATTATTATTATTATTATTATTATTATTATTATTATTATTATTATTATTATTATTATTATTATTACAAAACTGAGATCTCAATATTATTATTATTACAAAACTGAGATCTCAATAACATTTAATATAAGTTTATTATTAGAGGATAACATGGAGTATTTATCCGTTATTGAAAATATTTGCATAAGTAATTTCTTTATTTAACAAAAATACCATTGATTCGTTGGCACTATTAAATCGCAGGTTTGTAACATCAATTTTCACTGGATAATCGTATCGTTTATATAATCTTTATAGTACTGCACGTTTTTATTGTCGCTTTTCATTGGATAATCGTCGACACGTTTATATTATTAGTTATAAAGATTGTTGACAGGTTATATGGTCCTATAGCGGGGCCTCAGTGGCCGAGTGGTTAAGGTCGCTGACTTGAGATCACAGGTCACTCACCGCTGTAGGTTCGATCCTCACTCGGGTCGAAATATTTCATGTGAGGAAGCCATTCAGCTGGCTTGCGGAAGGTCGGTGGTTCTACCCAGGTGCCCGCTCGTACCGTTTATATACGGCCATATATCCTTTCAACAATTTTTATAACGAATTTATAATACAGCACACATCATTTTTAGAGAAAAGGTAAGATTTCTTCATGAATCGACAGTAGCCGTGTATATTATTAGTTATAAAGATTGTTGACAGGTTATATGGCCCTATATAAACGGTTGTTTGTAAATATAACCCGAGCCGCTAGGCGAGGGTTATATTGCAAACAGCCGTTTATATACGGTCATATAACCTATCAACAATCTTTATAACGAATTTATAATACAGCAAACATCATTTTTTAGAGAAAAAAAGTAAGATATCTTCATAAATCGACAACAGCCGTGTATATAAAACTATATAAACGTCACGATTATCCAATGAAAAGCGACGTTACAAACGTGCAGTATTATAAAAAACTATATAAACGTCACGATTATCCAATGAAAAGCGACGTTACAAACGTGCAGTATTATAAAAAAGTATATAAACGTCACGATTATCCGATGAAAAGCGACGTTACATACGTGCGGTATTATAAAGTTTTTTATACGTGGCGAAGAAATCTCACTTTTTTCTCTAAAACAAGATGCACGCTGTATTATAAATGTTTTATAAATTTTTGACAGGTTATATGGCCGTATATATACGATTGTTCGCAATATAACCGTTAGCACAGTTACAAATAACCTGTCAAAAATCTTTATAACTACATGTAATAATATACACGGCTACTGCAAATTTATGAAGAGTTGGGGGCCGGGTTGTGGTGCATTATTATTGCGTTCAATCAAGATTCTTGACAGGTTATATTGGGGTTATCCAAGGGAGGTCCACTGAGTATAACGTCACCTACTACGGCATGTTAAAGCGGTGCACAGCACTTTTTATTCGTATCGTTTTTTCAATGCCACAAGAAGATACCGTTACATTGAAAACTGACAAAGCTCTCTACATTTTTTGTTCCATTTTTTCTAACAAACTATACCGAGCACACACTATACTTGTAAATCAAACTCAATTTCCACAAGCACGACAGCCTGTTTACAATGTTTAAAAGTGTTGACAAGTATCTTTGATGTTGAGAGCTCTAATATAGTGAATATTTTGGTTGCGGAAACACTCTTGATTTTAATACCATAAACATCATCACCGGCATATAGTACTATATATGAGCCAAGGTCAACAATCGGATTGTTTTAATATAGTTTTAGATTAAGTGGATATATGTAAGTAAAAAAACGTTATCGCGGAGTCTGATGGCCTTGTGGCTAACATGTATACTTCTCAATCCAGAGACCGTGAGTTCAAGGCTTCCATGCGTTCACGGACTTGTTTCCCTATCGAAATAGCATGGATACGTTTCAATTCAGCACTCTAAAATCTATACTTTTATTTAGCAGTTAGCAAAAATCACCGATCTTTTTTCAGAATTGAGAGTTAACGTTAAATTATTAGTCATTGCACGTAAAACGTGCATTACCTTCGTATATGACGTCACCAATCATCTGTAATATATTGAAGAAATACGTGATGGTCTTCTTTGATCTTGACGTTTTATATTACACCTGTGCAATATCAAGAAATACCCAACGGTTGTATCCCAGGGGGTTCTATCTACAAAACAGTACAAATCCTTCCATTAAAACATTCTCAAACTATGGTTGATACTGTTAATTTAATGAAAACCATAAAAAGAAATGCCACAAAACAACAATTTATCTTCAAAATTATGTGTGAGGCCATGTTTTAACATGAAAAAACTCGATTTTGTTTAATTCCAAGATCATTTATAATTTTCTGTAAATAAACCATATCAACATTGTGTAATTTTTTGTATGTTTTGTCTTTTTTCTTCAGGTCGTATCAATTTATTGCATTGGTCATCTTTACGTGGGTATCCTTGGTTACAACAATAACAACATAAACACCACGTGTTGCTCAGATAAATCTTGTGAAAATACCGTCGGGTGTGCCCTAATATTTGAAATAGTTGTAGACGGTTTAAATGGGTAAGACAAATATTTTGTTTTTATTGTCGAATTATAAAGGAATAAAATAAAGGTTCCATGAATCAAGTTCAACTTCCGGTCTGGCCAGAAAATGGCTGATAAAATACCTAACTTTATGAAGTCAAACAATTTTTTCCAGTGTTACATATGCATAATGGATGAATTCTATTTCGTGATTAATTTATTAACCATTTTTGATGTGTAACAATCGTTTAATTAAACTGAATTTTCCATACATTTTGCCTTTTCGGGTCGCAGGCTGAACAAAATGCACATTTCCCAGCATGAATGACACCCTAAGTTTTTGGGACTTCAACATTATTACAGTATTTAAGGGCCATCTGAATCACATTTTAATCTCTTTATAATTTGACAATAAAAACAAAATTATATACATGTATTCCTTTAGAGAAGAATCAGTTTTCATATCTTGGGATGTTTTAAATATAAAATGTACTAATGTGCCTCTGAAATCCATATTAATCAAATTCTTTAAAAATGTCAAATATGTGTTAATTTATATTAATGGATTTAGAGCATGTTAGATGTTTAACAGCTAAAGAAAGTAGCGCTGAATGTGTATAGGTAGCAAAATGTAAACGAAGAAGTATTTTGACTTCCATATAAAAAACTAATTCACTAAATGAGTATACCAATTGCCAACAATCAAAGCGAAAGAAGCAAAGATAGTTCATCATTATGGCAGGCAAATGAGTAATTTTTGAAACTGTAACAAGATACCAAAAAAAATTAAGATTTTTTGTGAAATAAAAATTAGCAATTTTTAGGCATAAAGCAGTAAATGCGAAATGGACTGATGCGGATCTCTATAAATTCTTTTAGCTTCCGCCCTATTATTATAATGACAATAAAAGCGTATTGCAATCCTAAATTCTTGAATTATTCTTCGTTTACTTTGTAAAAGAGTGACGATTTACATACAATACTGTTGTCATTTATTTTTTTAAATTTTTTAGTTCGGAGGGACCAGTTTCCGGACGACCGTCCAATACGCCGTTAACACCTGGCCAAGCAGCATCGTTCATCGGGGAGTCGGTTACTAACCCTTTGTCATTCGCCTTTAACAGATGGCCGGTAATGATTTAGAAATTAATGTGCAGAACAAACAATATAAATATATAGATTGTAAATTTTATTAATGTGAGATCTCAATTTCAAGTTTCTTTGTCTCATATAAGATGCATAACTATCGCAGTCTATTTCTTCAGTTATCATCGCCCTATATATTGTTTCTTTTTATGTCTTTGTCCCCTATTTAATTTATTTTCCTATCTTCTCTATGATCATTTCTTTTTAGCTCATCTGAGCTGGCTCAGGGTGAACTTTTATGATCGTTACGCAATATATATAGTGCTGCAAATTTGATAAGCTTAGGAACACCTAACTGGTCCCCGTTTCATGTATCAAAATGTTCGGTTGAGTCCCTAGATTACGAAATTGATTTCATTTTTCCCGAAAGTGCTGGCAGACTAAGAAATCCAAGATGGCGTCCAAGATGGCCGCCAAAAATATGAAAATTATAATTAACTTTATATTACTTGAAATTTGGCAGTTAAAACTTATCAATATATTCTTTTTTTTCTTTCTTGTATCATTTGTGTTCCTAAAATGCAGTTTTAATATGTAATTTTATGTAATTATATTTTTGATTGATAAAAACAGAAAATAATTACGAAAAATATCCGAAAAAAATGTGTTTTTAAAAATAATTGAAACAATTTCTTCTTATTTTCTCTCTTTTTAATAAAAATCTGATTTTTTATGACTGATTTTCAAGAAAACAACACATTAAGCTCGACTTTAAAAAAAAGAATTATAAAAAAAAGATAAAATAAAAAAAATATCTAATTAAAATATAGAGGTATTGTTACAGTTATATCGGTGACGTTGCCGTCAGCAAACTTTAACTGTGATCATTACTTTTAAACTTCTTTATGTATTGTCTTCGACTCTTCATACTTGACCACAACAACCTTGGGGCAAGATCTTTAAGTAGACAAGACTAACCTTGACCTTCATTCATTAATGACCTTGACCTCCAAGGTCAAATGTCTAAATTTTGCTTGTTTTTTTTTTTTGCTGATTTTTGCTATTAGATAACTTTGTTATTTTCTAATGGATTGTCTCTAATCTTGAACATAACCAGACAGACCTTGATCTTCACTCATAAATGACCTTGACCATGAAGGTCAAATTTTCATTTATATATATATATAATAAATGGATTTACTTCATATTATAACACAATATTCTTTAGGATAAGACTTTCATGTAAATTTAAATTGACCTTGACTTTTTATGACATTGACCTTGAAGGTAAAATTATTAAATTGCCACTGATTTTTGCTAAAATTGACTGTATTTTGGTAATTAATTCATGGATCATCTTCCTACATTGACAAAACAACATTTAGGACGAGACCTTTTAAAAGGTGGAACTGACTTTGACCTTGAACTTTAAATAACATTGACTGTGAAAGTAAAATGATTGAATTTTGGTTAAATTGTCATAATTTTGTTATTTATGTACGGATTTGATTTATACACAACTTTTTTACCAGTATATATATTTAATAATTAATGTGACCTTGACTTTAAGTTGACCATGACTGTCAATGTCAAATTAATGAAATTCTCTTGTTTCATTTTTGGTTTAGTAACTGGCTATAACTTTGTTATTTATAATTTGATAACCTTTATTTTCAGACATTTTTAGGTCAGGACCTTTATGTATATTAAACTAAAATTGACTTTAACTCATGAATGACCTTGACCTTGAAGAAAAATATTGAATATTTACAGATTATCAAATAATTGGCTGTAACTTGGTAATTAATCAATGGATTATTTCATACTTGGACAAAACAAAATTTTGGACAAGACCAGTCCTTCTAAAAGGTTGAACTTACCTTGACCATCATGGTCAAAGTATTGAATTTTGGCGATGGCTCTTGTTAAATTCAAAATCTAACATTAAAAATTTTCATTTAATTACATTTTTTGGGATAGTGTGTATTTTAAGTTGGTGGGGGAATGATTAATTTATTTAAATTTCAAAATACTGCAAGTAACTTAATATTACCTTATTTTTGACTTCTTACAAGACTTACATCTATTTATCTTAAATTTCAGAGTCATTGCTGTATAGACAATGCACTAATTGTGAAATATGAGAATATAAGTATAATTTCAATTTTAAAATGCTTAAAATTTAAACAGCAAATCTGTTTACACGTTCTCTATTTCTTTTCCCTTCTTCATGAATTTTTACACATATCTTTCTAGCATATAAAGTTAGTAAATATTAGACCCAATATTAAGTTTGTTTGTTTGATTGGGTTTTACGTCGCACCGACACAGTATAGGTCATATGGCGATGTCCGAGGAAGACTTCAGGTGCCCTTCCGTGCATTATTTCAGGCACAAACATGCATAAAGGGATACAAATTTGTGCGGATTAAATTAAATTAATATCCATAGAGTTAAATCTTAAAGGCCCATCATGCCTCAGAAATGATTTCATTTTTATTTCTCAAAAAGCTTTTTCATGTCGGTTTTCTTTTATAGTATCCAAATAGTTACTCATTGGCTAATTACCAGAACTATCTTTTTCATCTGTTTCTTTTTGGCAATAAGTACAGTTATAGTATTTTGTATAGAAGTCAAAATACTACTTTGTTTACATTTTGCTACTTTTATGACAAACAAGCAAATTCGTTGAATTTATATCCCCCGCCGAGTACTGGTTATTATTAACACAACAACTGAAGACATAAGGCTTTATTTATATATTAATCATGGCATAAACAGTAATATTCTTTGAACTTGATAAATATTCAGGGCAATAACAGAGCCATAACTTTGTGTTAAATAGTAATATCTGGAAATGCCAATGAGATGTATGCATACTGCATAACTAATCAAGGGCCATAAATCTGAGTTATAAGTTTCTGACCGGAACAAGGCGACTATATGCACATCTCCTCTTAGTATCCCATAAAATTTCATTGAATTCCAGCCAGTAGTTACAGAGAAGTAGCACGGAAACGATTATTGCTCTGGTTGTATACTGCCTAAGTTATCAAGGGTCATAACTCTAAGTTAAAATGTCTGACCCGAACAAGGCGACAATATGCGCATCTCCTCTTGGTATTGAAGGTTCCAATAAAGTTTCATTGAATTCCAGCCAGTAGTTGCAGAGAAGTAGCGAGGAAACGAATATTTTTCTATATGCATACTGCATAACTAATCCAAGGGCCATAACTCTGAGTTAAAGTGTCTGATCCAAACAAGGCAATGGTATGCGCATCTTCTCTTGGTATTGAAGGTTCCCATAAAGTTTCATTGAATTCCAGCCAGTAGTTGCAGAGAAGTAGCGCGGTAACGATTTTTGCTCTATATGCATACTGCATAACTAATCAAGCGCAATAACTCTGAGTTAAAGTGTCTGACTGGAACAAGCAGACGATATGCGCATCTCCTCATGGTATTGAAGGTTCCCATAAAGTTTCGTTGAATTCCAGCCAGTAGTTGCAGAGAAGTAGCGCGGAAAAGATTTTTTCTCTATATGCATACTGCATAACTAATCAAGGGCCATAACTCTGAGTTAAAGTGTCTGACTGGAACAAGCAGACGATATGCGCATCTCCTCTTGGTATTGAAGGTTCCCATAAAGTTTCGTTGAATTCCAGCCAGTAGTTGCAGAGAAGTAGCGCGGAAACGATTTTTACTCTATATGCATACTGCATAACTAATCAAGAGCCATAACTCTGAGTAAAGGTGTCTGACCGGAACAAGCCGACGATATGCGCATCTCCTCTTGGTATTGAAGGTTCCCATAAAGTTTCGTTGAATTCCAGCCAGTAGTTGCAGAGAAGAAGCGCGGAAACGATTTTTACTCCATATGCATACTGCATAACTAAATTACCATTTTACCCCACCCACTTAAAAACACATTATCCTAAAAATTATACTAAAATGATAACTTTCATTGGCACATTTGGTTTGTAAAAAAGTTGTTTCCTGTAAATTTGTCGTAAGGAAACAAATCATTATTGAATTGCAAGAAAAAAATAGAAAATGTAAAGCACATATTTAAAAAAACAGTAATTTTCAGAAATATTTAGCCTTAATTATCGGTTTTCATCATAAAAATTCTACTAACATTATAAATAGATACTAAAACTAAATAAAAGAAATATATTTAATATTAAAATGTTTAAAAACAACAATGTTTAATAGTTAATGCTTGCAAATTTAAGTAACAATTAATAAATGATTATTTTCATATTTTTGGCGGCCATCTTGGACGCCATCTTGGATTTCTTAGTCCGCCAGCACTTATGGTAAAAATGAAATCCATTTTCGTAATCTAGGGACCAAACATTTTGATATATGAAACCCCCTGTTTATGATCGGGGACCAGTTACTCCCCTAAATAAGCGACTTATTGGAGTCTATTTGCAGCACTAATAATTGTTTTCAAATCTATCGTTCAGTATCACATATGAAATGTTTGTAAATTTTCATTTTCTATATACATTTGTAAAAATATTATATATTCCAAATGCTCGCTAACAGGTATATGAATTTCTTTCTTTTTCCATTTCCATTGATGTTAATTTTCCAGTACGATATTTTTTAACCTCTAATTTAAATCATTGGTTCTACTCAGGTCCTCGCTCGTCACTGAAATAATGCATTGAGAGGCCACCTGAGGTATTCCTCTACTCGGAAAACTGGAAAGTCGCTATTTGTTATCACCATATTATTGCTAAAATGCATTATTTTATTTTCATTGTCCCAAACGATATTTCTTTGATTTTCCAATAAGATATTTTTCACTACAATATGTTTTTTGATTTTCGTTGTCAAATACGATATTGTTTAGATATTCATTGTCCAATACGATATTGCTTTGATTTTCCTGTATTTCATACATTATTATTTGATTTTCGTTTACATTGTTGACAAATATGTGTTGAACAATTTGACAATT